GAGTCTAGTTTCTCCAAATCTCTATCAACATTTATTTTCCAGCTTAAAAAAATTATAGGCGTCCTAGTTTGTGTGAAATGGCATACCACTGCGGTTTTGATTTGCATTTTTCTAGTGACTAATAATGTTGGACTTCTTTTCAGGTGCTTCTTGGCTATTCATATACCTTCCTTGGAGAAATGTCTAAAGTCCTTTGCCCAGTTTTAATAGGGTTTTTGTTGTTGTTGTTGACTTATAGGAGATGTTTTATATATTATAGATATCACTTCCTTATAAGATGTATGATTTGCAAATATTTTATCCTATTCTATAGGTTTTCATTTTCTTGATAGTATCCTTTGATGCATGGAAGTTCTCAATTTTGATGAAGTCAAATTTATTTTTTTCTTTTGTTGCCTGTGCATTTGGTGTCACAGCCACTAAATTCTGCCAAATTCAATGTCATGCATATTTTCTCCTCCAATTTTTTTCTTCTTCTAAGAATCTTACAAGTTAGCTTTTAAGTTTATGTATTTGACTATTTTAAGTCAATATTTGTGTATGGTGTAAGATAAGGGTCCAAGTTCATTCTTTAATGTGTAGAGATCAAGTTTTCCTAGTACCATTTGTTGAAAAGACTGTCCTTTCGCCATTGAATGGTCTTAGTAAACGTGTCAAAAAAAAATTGACCATTGACCATGTATCTTAGAGTTTATCTCTAGGCTCTCCATTCTATCCCATTGGTCTACGTGTCTGTCCTCATGCCAGTACTATTACTCTAACTTCGTAGTAAGTTCCACAGTTGGGAAGTGTGAATCCTCCAAACGTATTTTTCTTTTTCAAGATTATTTTGGCCATTTGGGACCCCTTGCAATTCCATATAAATTTGAGGATTATTTTTCCATTTTTAGGAATAAGATTGTTGAAATTTTGATAAGAGATTGCATTGAACCCGGAGATTGCTTTGATAAATATTGATACCTTAACAACGTTAAGTCTTTCTATCCAAGAGCCTGGATGTCTTTTCATTTATTTAAGTATTTTTTAGTTTCTTTCAGCAATGTTTTTTAGTTTTTAGTGTAGAAGTCTTTCACCTCCAGGGTTAGATTTATTCCTATGTATTTCTTTTAGATGCTATTGTAAATGAAATTGCTTCATTAGTTTCATTTTTGCACTGTTCATTGCTGGCATATAGAAACAACACTTTTTTATATTAATCTAGTACTCTGCAACTTAGCTAAATTTATTTATTAGCTCTATATCTTTCATGTGGATTCTTCAGGATTTTTTGTATGTAGGGTCATATCATCTGCAAATAGAGATAGCTTTACCTCTTCCTTTCCAATTTGGATGGTTTTTACTTCTTTTTGTCTAGCAGCTCTGGCAAGAACTTCCAATACAGCATTGAAGGGCAGTGGTCAAAGAGGATATCCTTATTTTGTTTCTGATCTTAGGGGAAAAGCTTTTAGTCTTTCACCATTGAATGTGATGTTAACCACCGGTTTTTCATAATTATCCTTTATCAAATTGAGGAATTTCCCCTCTATTTTTAGTTTTCTGAGAGTTTTATTAAAAAAGGATGTTGGATTTTGTAAAATGCCTTTCTGCATCAATTGAGATGATCATGTGGTTTTCTTCCTTGGTTTTATTAATGTGATGTATTACATTAGTTGATTTTCTTATGTTGAACCACTCTTCCATTCCTGGAATAAATCTTACTTGGTCATAGTAAATAATACTTGCTAATATGCTGTTGGATTTAATTTGTTAATATTATGTTGAGGATTTTTTTCATCTATAGTCACAAGGGACATTGGCCTGTAATTTTCTCTTCTTGTTATGTTTTTATCTGGTTATCAGGGTAATGCGGCCTTGTATAAGGAGTTAAAAAGTGTTTCCTCCTCTTCACTTTTTTGGAAGAATTTGAGAAAAATTTGTGTTAATTCTTCTTTAAATGTTTGATAGATTCATCGGTAAAGCCATCTGGTCCAGGACTTCACTTTTTTTGGTAGGTTTCTGATTATTGTTTCAATCTCTTTATTTGTAATAGTTTTGTTAACATTTTCATTTCTTTTTTAGTCAATTTAAATAATTTGTGTGTTTCAAGGAATTTATTCACATCTTCTAGGTTCTCTAACTTGTTTGCTTACAATTGTTCATAGTACTCACATAGTCCCTTTCATCTCTGTAAAGTCAGTAGTAATGTTTTCACTTTCATTTCCAAATTTAGTTGTTTGCATTTTCTCTTTTTATCTTTGCAAGTCCAGCTAAATGTTTGTAAATTTTGTTCATCTTTGCAAAAGACCAACTTTTGGTTTCATGGATTTTCTCCATTATCTATTTTATTAATTTCTGCTCTAATTCTTACTATTTCCTTCCTCCTACTAGTTTTGGGTTTCATTTGCTCTTCTACTTCAAGTTTCTTATGGTATAAAGTCAGGTTATTGATTTTAGATCTTCTTTTTCAATGTAGACATTCATAGCTACAAATTTCCCTTTAGCACTGCTTTTACTGCATCCCATAAGTTTTGTTGTGTTTTTGTCTCTAGGTATTTTATAATTTCTTTTGTGCTGCTTTTGCCTCCTGTGACTCATTGGTCGTTTGAGTGTATTGTTTAATTTTAACATATTTGTGAATTTTCTAGTTTTACTTCTGTTACTGATTCCTGTTGTGGTCAGAGAAGATACTTTGTGTAACATGTATTTTTAAAATAGATTGAGACTTATTTTGTGGCCTAACATATGGTCTGTCTAAGAGAATGTCCTACATGTGCTTGAGATGAATGTTTATGCTGATGTTGTTGGGCAGTGTGTTCTTTATATGTGTAGATGTAATTACTGTGTTGTTCATGTCCTCTATTTCATTATTTTCTGTTTGTTCTATTATTGAAAGTGGGTGAATGAAGCTTGCTACCATTGTTGTAGAATTATATCTCTCTTCAATTCTGTCAAGTTTTGCTTCATAAATTTTGAGGGTCTATTATTAGGTGTATAAATATGTATAATTGTTATATCTTCATGCTATATTGACTTTTCTTATAATATAATGTTTCTGTTTGTCCTTGGGAACTTTTTTGATTTAAAGTCTATTTTGTCTGATATTAGTACAACTACCCCAGCTCTCTTTTGGTTACTATTTGCATTGAATCATCTTTTGCTATTCTTTCACTTTTGATCTATTTGTATCTTTGAATCTCAAGTGAGTCTTTCATAGACAGCATATAGTTAGATTCTAGAATTTGGTGGGTTTTTTTTTTGTCAATCTGTCTTTTCCTTGGACACAAATTTACATTTAAAGTAATTACTGATAAAGAGGGATTTCTGTTTTGCTATTTGTTTTCTATATGCCTTATAGGGTTTTTTTTTTGGACCTCATTTCCTCTATTACTGCCATCTTTTGTGTTTAGCTTACTTTTTGTAGTAGATGTTTTGATTCTCTGATGATTTCCATTTATGTATATTGTACAGGTATTTTTTGTGTTTACCATGAGAATTACATTTAACATCCTAATGTTATAACAATCTCATTTGAATTTATACCAACTTAACTTCAGTAGCATACAAAATCTCTGCTCCTATATTGCTTCATCCCTCCCTTTCTACTGATGCCACTAATTACATCTTTATACATTGTGTGCCCAATAATAGGCTAATCTTGTAAAAAGTTCTTTCTTGGCTGTCCTAAGAGGAACCAAGGGAGGAAGTGTTCACCCATGGACCAGTGCTTTAAAAGATCAGCAGAATGTTCCTTAGTCATGTCATAGTGGGCAAACCCTAAAGAATATGAATAATCAGAAGGATAAAATTTAGGCTATTTGGGCAACCACATTGTCTCACTTGAAGATATTCCTTCCAGAACTGAACTCCTGATGTCTCTGGGTTTTGTTTTTACTAAAGATAATTCCCTTTTTCCTAGGGGATAGTCTCTATTATGCTCTATCTTCAGCTGTATGCAGACTGCAATTTGGGGCTAGCACATGGAAGGCAACATGCTCCTCATACTTGAGAGTGTGTTCTTGCTGAGCGCACTCAAAGACACAAAGATGAATCATAGGAGATCCCAGTTCCCTAGGGACTGTAGGTTTGTGCAGCTGCTCACAACTAACTTACCTTAAGGTACAACATATGGCTCTCTCTTATTGGTGCCTAGGACATTGTGCCTAGGACATTTTGCCTTGTCCCTCCAGAGCATCATTTTATATGATTCCTTTTTGCTTCTCTACTGCATCTGTGTCCAACACATTTGCTGAATTAATGTATTGGATGGGACATTTGTAGGTTCCCTATAACAATTTACTGCTAGGAGGATTATTTGAACCTAACAAATACATATGCAAATATATATGTTTATACTTTTGCAAACTTGATATGTATAAGTAGTTCCTAGACCAGTGATTTTCAGACCTTGCTACTCATCAGAATCACCTGAGGAAACTTCTCGAAACCCAGATTGCTACGTTCCAACCACAAAGATTACTTTAATGAGTATTAGGTGGAAGGCAGGAATCTACATTTTCAAAAGTTACCCAGGTAATTCTGATATCCAGTCAGCATAGAGAACCACAGCCCTTTGACTAAGAAAATTTAGTAGTTAAAAAAAGCTATATAAACTGCGTTCTATTCTTTAGGGAGATTCTATGTTAGTACAGCATACAGTCAAGAACACTACCAATGCAGCCACTTCCTAGCTGTTATCTTTAGACAAAATTACCTAGTCCGTCAGAGCTTCAGTTTATTGATTTGTAAAGTAGGAGATACAGGTTTACCATAAGGATTTATGTAAAGCCTTAGCACAGTAACTGTACTATAGCACACAATAAATGCCGGCCAGACTGATTCTGCTGTATACATGAGCCACTGGATTAGTCCGGATGCAGAAGCCTACTACAATACACCTTCTTGAGCCAACTCTTGGGAAAGCGGGGGAGGTTTCCTGGCCCCACAGGAAGTGCAGGATACTAAAGCCAAGTCACAGGGAGGGGACTGACTCTTGGCGCGCACTTGCTCGCAGGGCTCGGGTTGTTGCTCCGCGCGCTTCCACCAGGGGCCGCTCTAGCTACCCAAGCTTCCTGCACCTACCTGGCGGCGCCCCCGCGCGTGCTCACTAGGAGCAGCGCGCGCCCCGGAATCGCCGGAGCCGCCTTCGCCTTAGGCCTCCGCTCCCCAAGCAACTGCCCAAACTAAGCCTCGGTGGCTGGATACGGGAGCGCTCTGGGGACAAATCTCCTCCTCCCTCCATTGTGGTCTGCATTCCTCCGGCCCCTGAGCAACTCTTGGGCGGGAAGTATTAGCGTCTCTGTTGCGCTGCAGCGGGGGAGGAAGGAGGAGGCCGATCCCAGGGCGGACTCGGGGTAGACCGAGAGAGACGCCGGCGCTGCCTGGATGTTGCGATGGCTGATCGGGGGAGGCCGAGAACCGCAGGGACTGGCCGAGGTAAACCCCGGGCGGGCCTGCTGAGCGCCCGCGGAGGCCAAGTTTGTCCGAGGGACGGCTTCGTTTTTGTTCGGCCTCCCTGGGTTCCGACCGCGGGGACCCGGGCGGAGGCGGGCCTGGCTGCTGAGCTTGCGCACTGCGCTGTCCTCGGGCCGGCGGGGGCCGAAGGCGGGCAGGCCAGAGCTCCTCGGACCCCGCGGGCCCCCCTGCGCACCCTGTAGCTGCAGACCCCCCGCCCAGTGCCACGGCTGGTCGAATCCTGAGACCCTGGCTCTGGGACGCTCAGCTGGTCAGCAGCCCTGTTGGGACCTGTGACAACTTACGGCTTCTGGCTATCGAAACCATCTTCATTTCCGCTGAAAAAGTATTCGATTTAGCTAGAAACGAACGAGTTTTGACCTCAGCTTTCCACTTTTCGTTTATTTGAATTGGTGCTTCTTCCTAGCATCACCTGATACTTGCTCAGGGAATTTAAAAGTAATTTACTTATCCAAGAACCGAAAAAGGTTATAATTATTTTTAAAAAGTAATAATTTGCTTCAAGGTCAAGAACATGATTTTCTAATGAACTGCTATTGGTTTCATAGTCACACTTTCTTCATGGGCCCGAATAATTGAATAGACCGTGTGTAATGAGATTTTACATTTGAAATGTGAATAAAATAATTTTTCCAATCTTGAAAATATTGAGGTCTGGAATTTATTTCCTGTGCCACATAAGAACAGAATTTGTGAATTCCATTTTATTTCTCATAAGTATTTGTTTTGATTGTTAAAAGTAAGAAATTGGATTGTTGAGTGTAGTCAGTCTTCTCAGTTTTAACTTCCTCATGTCTTTGCAGTTGAGGGTATTGTCTGTTTTTAAAGTTTCTTATTTCAGATCAATCCTAAATCCTTGAGAATGTGGAAGAATTATGGATTACTGAATAGCCATATGTGGTATATATGACAATTTGGATAATCTATTTTAACCTGGTTCTTTGGTTAGTCATGTAATTTGATTAACCAGTTCTCCCATCCCTGGCAAGTTTTCATTGGAAGGGAAGCAGTTTATACAGTTTTCAAATTTCTCACTAGAACCTCTCCTGGAAGGAAGGCAGAATAATACAATATTACTGCTTTGTGGTGGATTTGTTTTGTAAAACATTTATACATGTTTTAAATTTATATATTTTTTCATGTAAAGATACTTCAGTTGTATAACTGCTGTGAAATTGTACATTATTAGAACCTATGATTTTCCCTAATTTATGCAAGAACTTTGTATGCAGGCTTCTCCTTAAGCAGTGGCTCTCAAATGGGGTGATTTTGCCCCGCAGGAGACACTTGGCAGTGTCTGGAGACATTTTTGATTGTCATACCTTGCAGAGGGTCAGCTGTATTGGCATCTAATGTGTATAGACCAGGGATGCTGCTAAATATTCTGCAATGCACAGGACAGCCCTCAACAACAAAGAATTACCTGGGCTGGGCGTCATGGCTTACACATGTAGTCTCAGCACTTTGGGAGGCTGAGGCAGGCAGATCACTTGAGGTCGGGAGTTCAAGACCAGCCTGGCCAATATGATGAAACCCCGTCTCTAGTAAAAATACAAAAATTAGCTGGGCATGGTGGCGCAGTCCCAGCTACTCAGGAAGCTGAGGCAGGGAGAGGCAGAGATTGCAGTGAGCTGAGATAGAATTATTGCACTTCAGCCTGGGTGACAGGGCAAGACTCTGTCTTTAAAAAAAAAAAAAAGAATTATCTGGCCCAAAATGTCAGCATCAAGTTTGAGAAATCCAGACTTAAGTTTATTGAATTCATTGAGTCTAAATGATTTCATGCCTTCCTTTATTCACTTAGCAAACATGTATTGAGTGCTTGTAATGGATGAGGCACTGTTGTAAGTCTTTGATTTGCAGTTTTGTTTCTGTCACATTTTAACTGAGAGAGAAACACGCATTCTAAAATGTTGAGTTGGATTGGCCCATTAATTTTTTTTTTTTTTTTTTTTTTTTTTTTTTAGAAAAAAAACATAGAGCTTTATTGTTCTCAACACCAGATTTTTTTAAAGTCGGGTTTAATAGGATACAATTTACATAAAATAAAATTCACCCTTTTTGTAAACTTATTGTGATTTGAAAATACTGAAATTTGTGATATGAATTTGTGGTAAGAGAGTGTTCTATTTTTTGTTTTTGTTTTTTTTAGAGGGGGGCCCTTAGCAGATCTAAAAATACAAAATAAAGCTTAAATATCCAAGAAATGGTCAATACAATGAACTCCTTTTCTAAAGAGCTTATAAAAATGTAAAAGGAAGACTTACCAAGGGAAGTGTTTTATGTGGAATTGGCAGTTGTTTAGTTGATATTAGAAGAAGTAATACTTAGTATAGGAACATGGTATCTTAAAGCTTTTAAAATCTTGTGTTCTTAGATGTATACCATGCGGTTACAATCCAACATGATCTTACAAATCATTTTATCTCTTTTTTTGTCTCTCGTTTTTTGCTTTTTTTTTTTCCTCCCAATACAAGAAATCTCCTTTACAGACAATAGGTGAAGAACAAACCCAGAACCCCTACACTGAGTTGCTTGTACTGAAAGCTCACCATGATATTGTACGGTTTCTGGTACAGTTAGATGGCTACAGGTAAGAAATTCTAGTGTCTAATTGACTGTTGTTTGGGAAATTGACTATTTTAGGAAATTTTATGTTAAAAATAAACACCTTTAAAATTAATACATCTTTTCTAAAAATTTTGAAACTGTGATCATTAGTAATATTTAGTAGAAATTGAAATTGCCCTCTGCATCTTGATGAAATATGTATCTGGAGTCTTTTTGCCCAAAGTCAGGGTTCACGTCTGGTGATTTGAGGGTTATGTTTGTTTGTTTGCATTCTCAGAAATATTCTTGTTAGTTTAAAAGAAGTGTATGACTTTAAAATTTGGGTATATTAAGGAGAACCTGAATTTGAGAAACAAATATGATAAATATTTAAGTATCAGGTACCTACCAGGAATGTTTTATTTTTAGTGGAAGATAAGGATTTAATCCAAAGTTTTTGTTATTGATGAAACCACTTTAAAATGTACATTATTCTGTACCTCCATGCTAACATCTATAATAATTGTATTCAATATATTTGTAAATAGAGATGAAGGTCTGTAGGTTTTAGGACTATAGACTATTATTGATCTGCATATTAAGCCCATATTCAACTATATATTTATCCTTTATAGCATGTTTCACCATAACAATTACATACTTAATGGTGTAACTCAATATTTTCTTCCTCTCTAAAACGTAAGCTTCATGAGAATAAGGCTATGTTTTTCTTATTCACTACGTATTTTTAGTACCTAGTACAGTGCCTTACTTGTAGCAGATAATTCACAGATGGTAGCTGAGTGAATGAATAACTCCCCAGACTACTAAGCATCCACGTTGGATGCCATCCTGATCCCCCAACCTCATTTCTGTTGTCTTCCAGTTTTTCCACTTTCATCTCTACTTTTCTCTTTTGCCTTTGCTGTTTTTTTCCTTTCGTTTTTCATTCCATGGATGAGTACTACTGGGATTATTCCTAACTCTGACTACCACTTCTGCTGTATATTAACCTTGTTTTTTCTCTGCTTTTTTAAAAAATTAAATTTTATTTTATTTTTTTAAATAGAGACTGGATCTCACTGTATTGCCCAGGCTCATCTCAAACTCTTGGGCTAAAGCTGTCTTCCCACCTCAGTCTCCCATAGTGTTGTGATTACAGGCATGAGCCACTGTACTCTGCCTTCTCTCTGCTTTTTAAATGTCATTGGTATTTAATTGCTTTTACTAAATGCAGCACAGTTAGTTCTGACACGACTTGGAGTATAGTCAAATTCCACAGGTGAAGGATCTATACAACACCCCTCACCAGAGACACTAGCCACAAGTTCTGTATGGGTTTGTAGGCAGCCTGCATTTCCAACTGCTGGCTACAAATTCCCACTGTCCTCTCAGGTCTGATAATTCACTAGAAGGACTCATAGAACTGAGAAAAGCACTATATGTAGCATTACAGTTTTGTTATAAAAGATACAAATCAGGACCGGCCAAATGAAAGGATGTATATAGGGTGATGCGAGGTCCAGGGCATCCCACATGCTTCCATGTCCTAAAGACGCCTTGCCCTCTTGCCACATCAATGTGTATCACCAGTGCGTGAGCACACTTGAGGTTTGGGTATCCAAAGCTTTCATGAGTAGGCATGATTGTTTGAATCACTGGTCACATAGTTGAAGTCGATCATGTTACTTCAATTGAAGGCCCCCCTGCCCCTTCCCACTGGTAGCACAAAGCCCAAATCTTTAAATCACGTGGTTCATTTTTCCAGCTTGGCTAGCTCCTTTCCTGATGGTATCTCAGGGCCCACTGTGAGTTGTTCCGTTAACATAAACTCAGGTGTGGTCCAAGGGATCCACCATGAGTAATGAAGACATTCTTACCACTTGGAAAATCCCAAGGGTTTGGAGACTCTCTTCTAGGAACCAGAGACAAAGCCCAGCAAAATTATTATACAATACTGTGCTGCTTAACTTTTTCTTGAAAAGATTTGTCTCATATATTATTGGCCTGTCAGCCCTGTTTTCCTGTTGTGATGCAAGTCAACCAAATGATGACATGTTAAACAGTTAATCATCTGCAGCCTCTTTTGGCAATATTGTTACTATGTCCTGAGAGACACTCCATTTATTTATTTAAGTGGTCATTTTTGTGGGGAACTAATTATTTCTGGAAAGGTAGGATTTTGGAGAGCTAAAGTTTTCTTGTGCTATATTTTACCCTAGTAAGTTGCTAGATTAAAGAGAATGTGGTCATTTTTTATAATCACTAACCTTTGCATGTTAAGGAATCCTAAAGTTACTTTGTCTAGTAAAGTTAAATAGGAAATACACAGTATGTGATCAGGTTGTGGACTTTAAATGTTTATGTAAATTGTTAAGAGTCCATGTTCATTTTTACCTTTTCTCTGTAAAATATCCTCTTGGCTATTCCTATCCCATAGCAGTAGTTAGAAGACGACTCTGTAGAAGAGGCCAGCCTATAGAATAATGGTTAGTGTACAAATGCTGACATGGTGGTGCTCACATATACTTCAGTTGTTTAATGATAAATATTCTGTAAAGAGTAAAAAGCTATACCTGAGTATGTCAGTTACCTATTGATCTATCAGCTATCACGCCCAACTTAGTGGCTTGACACAACCCCATCTATTTAGCTCATTATTCTGCTGGATGGCAATTTAGGCTAGGCTCAGCTGGGTGGGTCGTTCTTTGCACTAGGAGCAGCTGATCTTGGCTAAATTCACTTATGCCTCTGTCAGCTGTTAAGATTGGTGGGGACTGGCTGCTTCACGAAGGCCTCAGCTGAAATGACTGTGGTCTCACTCCACGTGGTTTCTCAGGTGCTTGTTCGCGTAATGATTGTGGAGTTCTAATAGGAGCAGAAGGACAAGCCCCAAAGTAAGACATTTTTCAAGTCTCAACTTGCATCATGTTTGCTGCTGTTTCATCAGCCAAAGCAAGTTAGGAGCTGGTACAAATTCAGTCAGTTGGCAAAGAAACTTGACCTCTTAGTTACCTCTTAGTAGAAGTAACTAAGTCCTATTGCTAATGGTGGTGGGACTGTTGGAAGAGGGAATAATTTGTGGCCAGTTTGCATTCTATCACAGTGAATCTAAGATAGATGAAAAAGCTTTTGGCTTTTGTAATTCAGTGACGATACGACTTCATGATTCACATTTAATTCTTTGAAAAGTCATTTTCAAAATTACCGTATAATTGAGTATGAAGTTTTTCAGTCATTTGCTGACCGGTGCAACTTGCAGTCTGTGTGTTGTTTTTAAAAATTTAATTCTATAATGTACTAAAAATAATGAAGAGTCATTCTTGGTAAGAAGGACACAGGAAGGCCGGGCGCGGTGGCTCAAGCCTGTAATCCCAGCACTTTGGGAGGCCGAGGCGGGTGGATCACGAAGTCAAGAGATCGAGACCATCCTGGTCAACATGGTGAAACCCCGTCTCTACTAAAAATACAAAAAATTAGCTGGGCATGGTGGTGCATGCCTGTAATCCCAGCTACTCAGGA